TTTGGTAGCCTTGTCTCAGCTCCTTGATTTTCACGCGGCACTGCGTTGCATCCCGGCTGTAGCCTCTCTCTGCCATGGCTTTGGAGATCTTCTCGTAGATCTTAGCATTCCTTCTTTTGGAGCGCAGCTCTGAAAGCACGGACTCATCGCCCCACACTGCGATGAGATCCAAGACTTCCCGATCAGTCCATGCTGGGGCCCTCTTTCTATTAGATTGCACGGCCATCTCTGCTGGAGAGCTCTGCATAGTTGCCACTGCTGCTGAGCTCCCCTCGATGTCCAAAGAGGAACTGAGATTCAAACTGCCCAGACAGGAAAATGAAAATGAATTCAAATTTTCCCGGGGGTGTGGCTGGTCAGAGCATCCGAGCTCGGACTGCTGTCCAGAGCGTCAACAGAGTGGTGCACTGTGGGATAGCTCCCGGAGCTATTACCGTCGATTTCCATCCACACCTAGCCTAATTCGATATGGCCATGTCGAATTTAGCGCTAATCCTCTCGTTGGGGAGGATTACAGAAATCGATTTAAAGAGAGCTTTATGTCGAACTAAATGGCTTCCTGGTGTGGACGGGTGCAGGGTTAATTCGATATAACGGCGCTAAAGTCGACATAAAAGCCTAGTGTAGACCAGGCCTTAGTCTATGGGAGCTGTTTCATTCTGCTGTTGCTGACTCAATCAGCAGATGGCACATTCCTGGACACATTCCTGGGCACATTCCTGGTGGCTCCAAACTGTCCAAAGTTTGTGTTTTTCATCCTTCCAGGTGATGGGGTGGATCCCAGTTTACCCTCCGGGGGTTGTCTGGTCATCCACTTGACACATTCTTCGGCCGATGGATACTCCCTTTCTAGGGTGGCACCTCCTTAACCATTCATGTATATCAAGCATTCATCAGCATACATTCCATATCTTAACCATATTTTAATTTACTGTCTCCACCACTTTCGGGGTGTGTGCTAATTCATTTGAGACTCCTGGCCCTTTAATCACAGAGGGTGGGGGTCTGTCCTAGGAGCCGTTGCTATTACAATGAAGTGAAAGTCACTTAACGGCTTATAGTGTTTGTTTACATTGTATCAGTTACTTCAAGAACAAAGTCAATTAACTTGTTTGTAAGTTTTACATAGTAATAAAGTATCTTTCACAGGATAGATACAATCAATGGTTTCTACAGACAGTAGCTTACAAGTTTTAACAGAAGACCCAAGAGATTTTTGTACTTGGTGAAACTGTTGGATTTTAAAGTGTGGGGGACAAATTATTGGGGGGTCACTGTCACTTGGGGGAACCACTGTTAGTACCTTCTTTAATATCCCTACATCGTTTCTTGTCAGAATTTGTTCTTGGCCCAATGCTATTCAATATATTTCTCAATCTAGAAGAAAACATAAAATCATTGCTGGTAAAGTTTGCAGATGACAAAACTTGGTGAAGGAGGCAGCTCAGTTCTGCAGAGAGGTCTAGATCGGTGGTTCTCAAACTAGGGCTGCTGCTTGTTCAGGGAAAGCCCCTGGCGGGCCGGGCCGGTTTGTTTACCATCCACGTCTGCAGGTTCGGCCGATCGCGGCTCCCACTGGCCATGGTTCGCCACTCCAGGCCAATGGGGGCTGCAGAAAGCGGCACGGGCCCTAGTTTGAGAACCACTGGTCTAGATCACGTGGTAAACTGGATTTACTTGAACAACATATGTTTTTAATACAGCTAATGCTAGGTCAAATATCTAGGAACCTAAAATTTAGGTCACATGTTAGGGGACTGTATTTTTCAAAGCAGTGACTCAGAAAATGAATAAAGGTTATGGTGGGTAACCAGCTGAATATGAGCTTGTAATGCAATGTGGTGGCTATAAGAGAGCAGGTGCTATCCTTGGACATATAATCAGGGGACTATCTAGTAGAAGTAGAAAAGTGGGAAGTGTTATTACCACTGGATATAGCATCAGGGACACCGTTCGTGGGATGCCATGCCCAGTTGTGGTGTCCACACTTTTTAAAAAGAATATTGGCCAATTGGAAAGGATTCAGAAAAGAATTAAAGGAATTATTTGAATTCTGGAAAAAGTGATTGTATAGCAGGAGGCTAAAGGTCAATCTCTTTAGTTTATCAAAGAGACTGTTAGGGTGGAGGCTTCATCATAGTTTATAATACCTACATGGAGAAGAGGTTTCTGTCAGTAGAGGGCTCTTTAAGTTAACAGACAAAGACATAACAAGAGCCAACGGACCGAAGCTGAAGCTAGACAAGTTCAGATGAGAAATAAGGAACAGATTTTTAAGAGTGAGAGTAATTAACCATTGCAGCACCTCACTTAATGGCTGTGGTGAATTCTTCATCGCTTGAAGTCTTGGATTTTTCTTTAAAAAAAAAATGCTGTAGCTCAACCAGAAGTTATGGGTTTGATGCAGGAATCTCTGGGTGAAATTATATTGCCTGTGTTATGCAGGAAGTCAGCGTAGATGATCATAGTGGATCCTTCTGGCCTTAAAATCTATGGAACGGTATATCCCTATTCCTCCTCTCAAGTGTCTTCCATGTTTTTATTTCTCAAGGATTAGATTTGTATAAAATGCTGATATTTTGTGTTATTAGGCTAAATCCCATTTTGGGAAGAGTCCCTAACAGGGACCCATTGTGATAGGCAAAGTGCACATGTAACAAAAGAGTGGCTGTTACAAAGAGCTTACAACATAAGCAAATGACAAGACAAGAGACAACAGATGGATACAACAGTCCAATGAGTGGGGGAGACAAAGCTGCTGAAAAATGGTAATGTTGAATGGAAAACACTGCAGTTGCAGCACACAAGCTGCCTAGTTTTCATCAAGTGTTCTGTAGATATCACAGGAGAGAGAAATTTTAAAGATGATACCAGGGGTGGCTTTGCAGATTTTTATGGGGAGTTTCTTCCATGCATAAGAAGTAGTATGTGACAGAGCACAAAGGTGTTGGAGGGGAAAATTTGATGAGCAGGCACTACAGGCTGGTATTGTTGGGAGGGTTTAGAGTTTATAGGTAGAGTTTCATAGATTGAAGGCCAGAATGGATCATTAAGGTAGGGCAGGCCCCAGCCATGAAAATCTTAAGATGAAGAAAAAGTGGTGTATGTTTTCAGTGCAAAAGTGAAAGCCAGTGGAGGGTTGTAGATTGGGAGGGGTCATGGGACACAGTCAGAGCAACAGGCCAAGAAAATGATCCTAGAAGCAGCATTTTGAATGGACTGGAGTACCTTTTTGTCAAGCGTGCCTTTGTCAAGGCCAGAGAGGAGGAGGTAGTGGTCATCAAGTCATGAAATGATGAAGGTTTTGATGAGAATTTTGGTGGAATGGACAGAGAGAAAAGGCTGGATGTTGTGTTAGAAGAAACGGCAAGATTTAGACACTGTGTTCTTCCCTCCCACTACTGAAAACTAGGAAAACTCAACACCGCAAGTCAAAATATACAAAATAAATATCCTTAAATCAAACTCTAGTAACCAGCATTTTTCTTTCTTTGCCTATCTGTAAATTTCTATTATTGTCCCTGGAAATATATTTTACTCAGTTTGTGTGTACGATGAAATTGACATTTACTAACAATCTTTCCAAGCCTACCCTTGATGCACAGCATATTGTGTAAGTGGTGTACCATTTTTATAGGGTCTGTCCTCCAGTCACACAGGGAGAAGGGTTGCTGTTTTGGGTCTGAGGTCTGTAGGGAGAATTTATTAGTGGTTTGGACATATTTCTCAAGATTCTTAAGCACCCTTCTGTGGCACCTTAGCTAGAAGCAGTGCTTAGATCCATTGTACCAGATTTTGTGTTGTATTTACACCCAATGTGAAAACCCTTGGAGGTCCGTTGATCAATGGAGAATTTGGCTCATTGTATATCACCAAGTTATGAGTGCAACCATATTATTAGATTTTTACACACATTTTCTTTCCTGGATTCTGAAGTTCACTGTTACAATTTGCTCATTTATACTATCAGTCAAACAATCTTGCCCTGTGCATAAGTGTCTAACTTTTAATTGTGTAGTAAGTGTTTTGTTGCAGGGGGGAAAAGTCACAGACAATCAATTATATATGGAATCATGCTGGTTTTGGAGGGCAGGAAGAGATTTATAATGCAATGTGAAGCATTCATTTAACTTAAAATGTAATGCAACGATATTGTAAACCTAGAATAAAAGGAATATGCTTAAACATTCACATTTGTCCTTGGACTTTTTGTCACAGTAACTTTACCTTAGATGTAAATTATGTTTTCATAAACATTAATCTTGTCTAAAAGCAAAATTTTTGTGATGTAATCTGCTGTTGCAACGGAGGCCAGTGGGTTTTCATGGGTCTCACAGATGGCAGAAATTGGCTTGTGACAGATCTGAACTTTTTTAATTTTATTTTAGTGCAGGTAGCAAAGTGGAAGCCTTGTAATCTGACACTAGTTTAAGTGAATGCACTGTTACAGAGTGAGGAAGTAATGAATAGCGAGCAGCCAGCTCTGTCAGAGTACCAGAGCCAAGAGGAAGAATCTAGGCTAGTGGGTAGTTTACCTAACAGTATATGAGAGATGCGAAAATCAGAACTTTAAAGCCACTTAACATATAGTATAGTTATCTTGATTGTGACGTTTCTGGTTGTGAAAGCATGTGCTATATTAATGAATGGCCAAAAAGGTTTCTGAAAATATTTATTCAACAATACAGTCGTTATAAGGTAAGATAAGCTTGTGATATTACAGCATGCTGTACTAAATTGAATGCTAGCTTTCAAAATCTGCGGTGACAAGTTTTGGTCATGGTAGTCAATCCGTTAGTATTTAAAAAAAAAAAAAATCTGCGTTGCCTTAGGTTTCAAATTCTGAAGTAATATTGCCTTTCAAAGATCTTATTTGTGTATTGGATGACTTTTCCCATTGAAATCATTGTCCCTTTGCTCAGGAATTTGTGAATGTCTTATACTTTCAACATTTGTGGCTATTTAGTCATAGAATTACAATGATGTTCTTGTATTTTCAGGTTGACTTGCTTATTGACAATGAAGCGGAGAAGGATTACCTTTATGATGTGCTACGGATGTACCACCAGTAAGCTCTAACTCCAGACTTTTAAAAGCAGTTATAGATCCACTGCATTTTTTATTTAAAGATTAAACAGCTAAAATCTAATTTAAACAATAATCTTAAATGTAGTCTGTAGAAAACTAGCTGAAGTAATAATTCCTAGTTTTATTTTAAAAAGTCATATACTTCTGCAATTCAGTACATAAAAAATGAGCATGGTTTTAAGTTTGATCATAAAGTTATTTTGTTTGTGATGACTTACCAGTTACATAAATAAATGGAAACTTGATAGTTTATAATAGGAAAAAATAATGAGCATTTTTTATAGGAAAGAGCAAAATTGTTTGACCAGTCAGTTTGCTTATTTTATTTGATTTTTAGATTCACTCTTTTTATAACTCTCTCCAACATGCAAAAATACTTTGGACTGTTTTAGCAGAAAGACTATTAATAAATTCAACCTGGAAATCTTTGCCCTGCACATTGCAGCGTTTTGTTTTTCTATAACAAAACGACAAAAACATCAGTTACAAGATATCAGGTCAATTATTCATTCCAGTTACACCTGTGTAAATCAATGGAATTACTGTGCATTAACGTCAGTGCAACTGAGATCGGCATCTGGGCCACTGTTTGTTTCTTAAAGAAGATGAGAATATTTTTTCCACACTTCATAGCTGAATAGTTCTGATGGACATTGTTTCCATTCATATCTTAATTAATAGCATCTTAGTGGAGTGAAATGTAGAAGTTTCCAAATTTCCATGTGTCTTTGTACTGAGCTACCGTTTTGTATGGCCTCAGCTGCGTATCCGATTCAGTTTCACTGAGGTCTGTCTAATTGCTTCTCCATTCATAAAGCATTGCCTGTTGCTTGTGAAACCAGTATGAAACTGTAGCTGTTAATTATTTAAAACTTCCTTACAGTTACAAAATTAATAAATATCCCCCACATTAACTTTTCCCCACAAGTTCAGAAATTGTACTGAGTTTTAAGTAAACTATCAAATGCTGCTATTGAGGTTTATTGAATGATCTTAACTTTTTTATTTCTTAGGAAGTACAGTAGCAAAAAAGATAAGATAAATACATATTGTGGCCAACAGCTAGGATTTGTTTTACTCTGAATACTCTTTTCAAATAAGTTTAAATATTTGGGGATATAATCTCATTATGATGTGTATTAGTTTCTATTAATATTAATGGGTTACATGCACATCAAGAAAAGTAATATGCAGGGTACCTAAATGCTGTGATGATAGATACCTTACAGTGAATAGGCAGATATGGGCCAAGTTCTGTTGTCTATTGTGCTCCATTCAAGCCAATGGAATTGTTCCAGATTCACACTGGTTTGACATGACAACATAATCTGGCCCTATGACTATGTCTCAAAATTGATAAAGTTAGTAATAAGGACTCTTAGGTAGAACTCAAAGAAAATAAGCAGTTTTCTGTTCATGCTGGTTCCAACTGTATTTATATAGTTGGTTTATGTGATTTCACCACCACTGAATTTCACTTTGTTTTGAGTTCAAATGAGCTGGAAATTCAAACATACTTCGCTGCAACCACTCTGTTCCATGTGGCTTTTGGGGATTGCAACTATACATCTATCTCCTGAATCCATGGAGAGAAGAAGTTTGCTGAAAACATGGCCCAGGTTCACTAAAAAGGTTTGCAAATATGGGCAGAGTTTCAGACTTGAAATAAAATCTAAAACCTGGTGAAAAAGTTTACCTGGTTTTGAATGTCATGACCAAAGATTTACATAGGTCTACTGTTGGTATTTCTGAGAATAAAACTAAATAAAGATGTCTTCCTTACAGTATTGACAAATCATTTGTGGATTAAAGAATTACATAGACAATGTGGACATGAGTTTACTTGAATTAGAAAAATATCTTTACGCTAGTTTTATTTTTAAATGATATAGGAAAAATATATCCCTTGCTTATGATTGGCCTTGAACTACATAAAGAACCTTTTAAACAAATCTCTCTCTCTCACTCACACACACACACACACACACACACACAAAATCCAGTTTTAGTATGAGTTACAAACAGAAAATATAATCTTGTTAGTATTTTGATCACCTAGTCCTGTTTTCTCAATGTATTTTTATAGATCCATGAATCTCCCAGTACTGGTAGGGGACCTAAAGCTTGTGATTAATGAACCAAGTAGATTGCCGCTGTTTGACGCCATCCGTCCCCTTATCCCATTAAAACATCAGGTGGAATATGATCAGCTGACGCCTAAACGATCAAGGTACGTGTAGAACAGGGGTTCTCAAACTGGGGGTCGGGACCCCTCAGGGGGTCGCGAGGTTATTACATGGGGGGTCATGAGCTGTCAACCTCCACCCCAAACCCCACTTGCCTCCAGCATTTATAATGGTGTTAAATATATTTAAAAGTGTGTTTAATTTATTAGGTGGGTTGCAGAGTCTTGCTGTGTGAAAGGGGTCGCCAGTAGAAAAGTTTGAGACCCACTAGTGTAGAACAATGTAGGTCACATGAACACAAGCAGGAATTCTTGATTGAAAAGTAATTTATTCAGCCACGTTTTGATGAATAAAATATCTATATCCTGTGCATCCTATCACAGACACTGAAGTTGTCTTCGATGTAGTTCTTTGGGGACTAAATTTATTGTTTGGACTGAAATGTGTCTGTTGAAAATATTAGTCACATATTCTCTTTTCAAGTCTAAGCTTGACAGCTGAAAATATTTTAAGCAGTAACTAAAAATGCTTAAAATGAAGCTTCAGTTGTCACAACTTGTTATGATGTTGTTCATTACGATACATTAATACGTTTACAGAAAGCTGAAGGAAGTAAGACTGGATCGTTTGCATCCTGAAGGGCTTGGAATAAGTGTGCGAGGAGGACTGGAATTTACTTGTGGCCTCTTTATCTCCCAACTAATTAAAGGTGGACAAGCAGACAGTGTTGGGCTTCAGGTAAGAAAACACATTCTTGGTCATACTGCTGCAACAAGCCCTCTTATTATGATCTGAGGAAAGAATCCAGTCAGAAATGTTCTTTAATCTCCTTATGTAACTGTCACTAAGAACCTTGCGCTTTTAAGTCTTTTTTCCTTTTTAATCAAGTTCATGAAATGTGGTAAATCAGCCAGTGCTATTAAAATTTTCCTCTTCCTCCCAACCCCTTATTATGTAAACCAAAAATTATTTTTCATGTTTGATTGTATATGCCAATTCTGAAGAATGGTATAAAAGGAGAATTATGCGAGGCACCAGCATTCACGCTTTATACCCAGCAATATCGAAATGTAAAATACATTCAACAGAAGATCTTCTCTAACTGGAAAAATAAGAACCTTTCAAGTTGCCAAAAGCCTAATAAATATAGGACACAGCACTTAAAATAAAGGATAAACAATGAAAATCAGGAATAACAACTAAAAGTTTAAATTTTGCCTAATAAGGAAATAATTTCTTGAGTGCAATTAGATTTTAATTTTAAATTCCATTTATATCTTACTATTGTTTTAATATTGTGGTAATGTCTAAAAGCAACAACCAGGTTAGAACCCAAGTGCACTAGGTACCATAAAAACACATAATAATAACTTCTTTTGTGGATAAATTCCTGTGATAAATAATGCAGTAAGACCAGTTCTTTTGAAAACATAAAATATGGATGTGGTGATTTACAAAGAAAAAGGGGATAATACTTGTGACGGGTTGGATCATAGAAACCCCTTTGGGACCTGCCAACTGATGTGCCAAGGCTACTTCTGCCCCTGCTTTCCTGCCCTGGCAGCTTAGGACCCCAGCACCCTGTCTTGCTGAGCCAGACACGCCTGTCAGCTTCAACACAGACCCACGGTCTGAAACACGTGCCCCAAAGCTGCAGACTTCACTGAAAGCAACTTACAGAAGTGTTCCTGTCTTTAACACTCAGATGCCCAACTCCCAATGGGGTCTAAACCCCAAATAAATCCGTTTTACCCTGTATAACGCTTATACAGGGTAAACTCATAAATTGTTCGCCCTCTATAACACTGATAGAGAGAGATGCACAGCTGTTTTCCCCCCCACACACACAGGTATTAATACATACTCTGGGTTAATTAATAAGTAAAAAGTAATTTTATTAAATACCGAAAGTAGGGTTTAAGTGGTTCCAAGTAGTAACAGACAGAACAAAGTGAATTACCAAGTAAATTAAAATAGAACACGCAAGTCTGAGTCTAATACAGTAAGACAACTGAGTACAGATAAAAACCTCACCAGTTCCAGTAAGTTTCCTTTTACAGACTAGTCTCCTTCTAGTCTGGGTCCAGCAATCACTCATACCCCCTGTAGTTACTGTCCTTTGTTCCAGTCTCTTTCAGGTAGTCTTGGGGGTGGAGAGACTATCTCTTTAGCCAGCTGAAGACCAAATGGAGGAGTCTCCCAGGGGTTTAAGTAGACTTTCTCTTGTGGGTGGAGACCCCCTCCTCTCTTCTATGCAAAGTCCAGCTCCAAGATGGAGTTTTGGAGTCACATGGGCAAGTCACATGTCCATGCATGACTGAGTGTCTTACCTGCCAAGCCACATTCCTGGGAAGGCTCCGATGTGGATTGGCATCTTCGAGTTCATTGTTGGCCTAAGTGGTTCTTGATGGGGCACTTAATTTGCACACCCCTTTCTCAAGAAGCTGACCAAATGCTTTACTAAGGCTATCAAGCAAGTATACAGCCGATATTCCTAACCTCAAGTACAAAAATGATACGTGTATACAACTAGGTTTAATAGACTCAGTAGATCATAACCTTTACATACATATGTTACATGGCATATGTAGCAAAAAAACATATTCTAGTTATGTCATATATACATTCATAAGCATATTTCCATAAAGCCTTATGGGGCACACCGTCACAAATACCAAATGAAGAGTAGAAAAATGTGCATCATTTCTTGTTCCTCCTCCTTGTTCACATACACATCTTGACTGGGTGAAAGAGAGAAAATTGTGAATGAAAATGTCTATCAAGCCATATGCTGGACCTCTCTCTATCGGAAATAAGAATGCTTAAACTATCTAACTGGAGGGGAGTGCAGTAAGGGTTGATGTTTGTGAGTAGGATGATTTATTTTGTCTGGCTAATTTTGATTATGTGGGGAATAAGTTGCTGGACGTGCTGGCTTCTATGGATTGTATTTAATATTTTCCCAAAATGCATCAGATTAGGTACTTCTTAATTTTATATTTAAATTGAATAAAATAAAAAAGTGCACCTTCTTACAATCCCCTTCCGCTCCTGAAGATTGATGTGCATCACAGGCTAAGTAGTCACAATTGGCCTGCCCAATTCAGGTAACTCACCCAGACCTTTTTTTTTTTTTTTTTTTTTTTTTAAAGATTTAAACAAATGTTCATGTGTACATATATATCCATCTACTAAATCAGAGTCACTGTTAGATTAGTCCAATCTAGTGATATAGAGAAAGTGATTCTGCTCCAAGATCTTAATTTTGTAGCTCTCCTTCATGGCGGGTGTCAAAGAAAAATTCGCCAAGAGATACAAGCCTGAGGCACACTTGTTGTGGACTGTGGTCAATCAACAACTCACTTCTCCATCAGGAATTTGCTAGGAGAGGAACACCAGAAGCAGATCTTAATGTACCATTCAGGAGCTAGCTGTATGAGCTGCCCTAGACATTCGGAAAGGGGAGCATGCATTCTCAACCTGGGGACAATTCATTAGAGGTGTTTTTACTCTTATCTGTCTTGCTTTCTCTGTTCTTGCAATGAATGAAGAGGACAGTCACATCTGGAAGATACCAATGTGACTGAACAGTAATGAACTTAATGGCAACTGTATAAGCTGTCGAACTAGAACATTCATATAGTACTACTAATCATTTGTCTCCTATTCGCCAGTTGTCTCAAACCAATACCAATCATTTGATGCAGTCTAGGTAAGGTTATTTTCAGCCAATCTTGATTCAGAAATGCACTCAGATGCTGTGCTCTTGGAAGATCGAAGCTTGTTAAGGCAACCCATTCATTCTTCTTGGTGAAAGTACAAGTGGGAAGGGCAGCGATAGCTTCACCTAATATTTGATTGCCATAGTATTCCACATTGATTCATTGTCTCTTGTGAGTCTTCAGAGGAGCTCTGAGCCAGGCACACAGTAGTTCAGAACTCCATTTATGTTTCTCAGACAAAGGCAAAGTGTGAACAAAGAAAAAAAAATCCCTGAATATGTTACCGTGAATGTGTTAGACTTCGATTATATGTATTAATATGAACAGATGGTGTCTTGCCGCTAATCTAACTGTCTGGCTTGGGTTTGTTGATATTATGTGGTAAGGATCAGCTTAAGGTGCCTCCATAATAGGCGGCACTAGCCACTTTCTAAAACCAAGTGAATAAGGAGAATTGACAGGCTGTTCATTGTTCTAAATTGCTGTCTCATGGTAAAGCCAACTGCTTCTGAAATTTCACCCATCTGCATTATTTAGCTAAATCTCTACACTTTTTTTATTCCAAAAATGCAGTCTGAGAAAAGGTTTAATGATCTTTTATCATAAAATCAGTTTTAGCCCCTGTTTTTTTTATCCCAATTCATTTCTCATGATGATTATTCCTTGAAGTTGTTTTTGCATTTCTAAATGTTTGTATAGTCAAGGAATTTGACTGAAACATTTGAAGTTTTGACCTTTTTACTATGACTTCTTGATTTTTCTGAATGAAGAGCACTTATCCTTTTCATGTTTTATTGTTTCTTCTCTGTTTTGTCCTGATTTCTCAGATACTCATATCTATGAGGACGCTCTTGAAAAGAAAGGGTTTGAGTTTAGTATGAATAATGAAAGGGGGAAAAAATATACAAAAACAGAAATTTGAAACAGTCAGCATGACTATCTTATTTTAATCATGACGCAAGTTCTCTTTCTTGAAATGTAAAGGCAAAATAAAGGTATTATCTAACTTCATGCTGTTACAGCCTTTATTAGAAATTTTTCTACAATGCATTGGTTGTGTTGACAAGTATATAGAATGCACTATACAGCCTAATTCTCCATTGGCTTGCACCTTGAAAAAACACTGTCACTCCATTTTACACACATGGCACTCTCACTTTGCATATTGTAAATGACTACACAAGATGTAAGGTAATAGAGAAGGAAACTGATTGAAAATTGAAAACCTGGCCAGATATCCCATCTTTATATCACTTCTTTAATGAGAGATGCTACATGCTGTGTGTTTGTAATAATTGGGCTCAATGGGACAAAAAAAATGGCGGTATCAGTCTTAATTCTGAACTTCCTTGGTTTTGTAAGTTTAAGTCGGGGCTTTAGTATTACTACTAGAATGGCAAGTGCCATGTTGAGACAACCTAGAAGGAACTATTGCTTTTGGACTCACCTGAGTGTGACTTAACCCCATAAAGAAGTAGGCTAACCCTTCAGTATCCTGAAACTGTGCTATTGATCTCAAACATGTAAGGATTCAAAATAGATCGGAAGGAAGTTGAATTAAAACAAAAGCAAATAGCAAACTAACATAATGACACAAGAAAGTAAAGGAATGCTGAAATAAGGGCATCTTGCCAGCGTTCAGCATATGTTCACCCTTTCAAAAAAGCATTTAAATAGTTCCTCTCTCTGTCCTCTCTGTGTGCAGACATAACTTCCACCAATGTTAAGAATTCTGTACATGTTTTGACAGGACACTATTCATAGATTTTTAAGGTCAGAAGGGACCAATATGATGGTCTGGTCTGACCTTCATAATAGCACAGGCTATAGGAATTTACCCACCACTCCTGCACTGAGCCATGTATCTTGTGGAGGAACTAGTGCATATCTTTTAAAAAATACATCCAATCTTGATTTGAAGCCTTTAATTCATGAAACAGACAAAGCACAGCAATGGTTTGGCCATTCCCTCTTTTTCTAGGCCATAACGACTACCCTGGAGTAGGGGGCACTATA